CCGGGGGGGGGGGGGGGAAAGGGGAATGACAGAATAGGAAAGGCCAGGATCTAGGATAGGGGGAGCTGCTCTCAATGTGTTTCCGGAAGGCGGGCAGTAAGGGGTTGCAAAGCTGCACCAGGTATCTGCTCCCCCCTCCACTTGCCTCGCACAAAGCTTCCAGCCGGGCACAGCCTGGGCTGTTACTGCAGGCCCCTTGCAGCAGCAATGAAGCTATATTCACTCCTTCCTAGCTCCCCCTTCGGCCGACCCTGCCGCCTCCCAACAAAACAGAGCAGGAGAATCGCAGGCTTTACGGGAGGGGGGCAGAACGCAGCCCACGTGCAGGGCCATGAAACCCAAGAAGCTGCGTCAAGATCTACAGGCAGCTCAGGGGAAACAAAGGGGACGGTGCCTGATGGGCCGCTCATTGGGGTCCAGGAAGCAGCTCCAATATGGGAGCGCTGCGAGGACTGGAGGCGAGATGAGGGCGGTCAGCGCCCGGGACCAAGGAGGCTCAGGGGAATCCGGAGTCAGTTCACTTTGCACTATTTACACTGGCCCTTTCCTCTTTGCCCTGCGCCGGGTTTGGACAGTGAGCTGGAACTGGTCAGTTTCACTTGGCAGCTCGTCAGTTTCACTGCCCCACTGTGTTGAACTAGCCAGGGCCTTGCCTCTGGCTCTTGGGGGTGGGGGGAGAGAGAAAGAGGCTGAAGCAAAACCTAGCCAGGACAGCGACCTAGTCAGGACAGCGGCCGTGCTGACACAACGACCAGCCCATCACCCTGGGCAGAGCCAGGACCCTGCCAGGAGAAGCTGCAATCACTGGATGGGGTGAGGTCTGCCCCCCGCCAGTCCAAGTGCAGGATCAGGGACCTAGATGAGGGGCCTGATGCCGAGGGAAACCAGACCAGACGGTAGGAACCGGGGAGCATGGGCGCTGGGGGGGAGGGAAGACATGGGTTAGGACTCAGATCTTGCGGGTAGGATGTCGGGAGGGAGAGTTTTAAGCACTCGTTGCCACGCGGGCGCCCCCCCCAGCCACTCAGGAGACATTCCAATGCCGCCCAGCTGATCAGCAGAGCGCCCACAGCTGGGTTTTGTTTCTACTGGTGGTGCACATCCACACATGCCTCGGCGCGCATAAACATTGATTCCGCACACGGATGGAAAAGATGAGTGGGAACAGCACTCGTCACAGGAGGGATCTGAGCATTGCAGAGCTGGGGGCCTTGCCAACGGGGCTCACAAACGTCGCTTTTCAGAGACAATCTGGGGGTGAGCAGGGAGGAGCTGGGACATCCCACACCCTCAGTCCTGGAACCGGCCCCAGCGTGCGAGCAACCGGCTCCCTTACCTGGCAGTGCGGGTGAGGGTTGGAGCAGCCCATCATGGCCCCTTTGTTCTCAAATATCTGCAGGGAAGAGGGAAAAGAAGCTATTGGGACTATTCTAACATCAGCGGGCAGCAGCTACTGGTGAGGAAGCACAGCCTAGTGGTTGGAGCGCTGCACTGAGACTCTGGACTACTGGATTCTACTCCCTCCTGTGTCACTGAAAGACCCTAGCAAGTCCCTCACCCGCTCTGTGCCTCAGTTTTCCTACCACCATTTGGGGGCGATACTGAGTGGTACAATGCACAGATGCAGCAAGAACCAAGAGCCCAGGTGGATGGGGAAGCAGGCCGGCCAAACTCACTGGGGACACTGCAGAATCCCCCGCTAGCTCTCAATCAGACGCCTCCCCATGGGAAGTGGGGGGGACGGGGGGGGGAAGAGTGCTGCTCTGAGCTCAAGGCACCGGCCTAGCAGCAGGAGAAAGCTGTGGGCGAGGGGGTGCCCACAGCACCCCTGGAAGGCAGGTGGGTCTGGCCCTCCAGACCGCACAGCACGACGGCCAGACGGCAGCACCGCTCTAGCTGAGACACAAGGCTGGTGGCAGCAGCTGGGCAGGCGGGGCCCAGCAGGGCAGAAGGCCGGACGAGAGGGAGGGACGGCGGTGGGGACGAGCCCCAACTGATCAGGCCCTGGAGACCGAGCCCTGCCTCCCCCCGGACACCCCAGGCCAGAGAGGTGCCCGGCCCCTTTCACACGCCCCCAGGCTCCTGTGCACCCAGAACTGTAGTGCTGGCCCAGTGATAGAGGCCCTGGGCTATTTGCCAGCATTTCCAGGGGGCCTGTTCTCAGCCTCACACGCCCATACCCCCCGGAGGCTGCAGCACGGCCCCTGTGTAACAGCCCAGAGTCCACATTGGGAATAGCCAGGGCCTGAACCTGGGAGTCAGCCGGGGCGGGGAGGGGGAGGGAACCCTTCCCAATGCCCCACAAGATTAACCCCCAGGATGGCCCCGCCATGCGATTTCCTGCCAGGGCCCAGGCTGAGGGGAGACCTGAGAGGAGACAGCCCAGGAGGGGAACCAAAGCCCAAGGCGAGAACAGCGTCCACAGAGAACACTCCTCCACAAGCGTCCCCTCAAATCCACCGGAAGGATGGGGGCTGGGCTGGTGCCTGCTAGACCCCAAGGGAGCTGCAGGGCCCCCGAGATAACACGGCTCCCTCCTTAGGCCCCCCAGGGGCGAGTGGCCTCAGCCGAGGCCTGTAGGCTTCATTTACCAAACTCCTCGGGCAGATGCAGCTCGGAACAAGGGGTGGCCGCAGGCGTCTGGGGAAGGAGGGAGAGAGGGATGAGCCAGGGAGGGAGGGTGAGCGGGA